GTATATTTACTCCGGCGGCGATGTATGTGCCGAAGAAACTGGTCCCTAAGTAACTGCTATAATAGGTCAGTGCGTAACGATAGTCAGCCCTTGCGGTCAATGATAAGTGAATGATTGCTGTAATGAATATAGAAATTGTGGCGATTCCGGTGTAAACCAACTCCTGGTTAATGATTACACAAAAATGTTTGTCATTATTGGCAGTTATTGTATGAAATATTGGGAAAATGTGACAACACTTACAGCAAAAATCCAGTTAAATTTGGGGAAAACGATGTTTTTAAGAGTAACCAAATAACAGAAACATAAAATCAATGTTAAGGCAAAAGATATGGCGATTACGGCTGTGAAGAGTCGAGAAAACCACTAATTGAATAAAATGACATATAATTAATAAAACCATTATTAGCACTAAATGTGATACAGTTCTGTACAATCTATGCTACAAATCAATCGCCTTTTATTATATTATGCGATAAAATATATTAAATTAAAACTTTCTATTCGTTAAACAAAATTAATTGACAATTTTTAAAATATCCAAAAGTTGCAAAAATGTATTAAATTAAAAATATTGTAATTGTCATAAGAATATTGGATAATGTTGTCAATACTTAAACATGAAAATAAATTATTTAAAATATAATATTTTATATATTATTTAAAAAATTAAACTTACCGTCAGTGGCGGCGAAATACAAGCCATGCATATAATCGAAATGACCTTAAATGTTGCAAATTTCACATTTGTTACACAATTGATAATCAATAAAAACAATCATTTCTAAGAATAAATCGATCATAATAATTTTATAAATCATACCAATTGAACGAGTTTCAAAATACCCGGAATAATCTTGAAATATTCAAGATTTAGTCTCAATTCCTCTCCAATGGGAACCGATTCTACTTTGGTTTTGATATGAAAAGCTCCCGAATATTTACTAGGACCTTTTTGCACGTGAGACGTTGTCACCACTTCTGCCGGCATTGTATTGATCTTACGCTCAATTTACTCCTTTTACACAATATTTATCATAAATGTTCACTTTTTGCTCATTTAATTAACAATAATGAACACAATTTTTGTGAAAATAGTCCAACTTTTTTGTCAATTCCTTCTATGGCTTAAACAAATTGAATCACACTTTCAAACAAACTTCAAGGCTATTATATTGGAGAACCAGTTCTCTCACACTCTCTCGCTTTTGGTATAACTGTTTTGATGTCAAAGTTGTTTATCAAACACAGAATAATAATGTAATGTTTGTAGCATTTTGTTAATGCATTTTATTATAGAATTTCAATACTAAAGCATAAAATGATAATACAATATAAGGTATGCCTAACGCGCCAACTCATGTATCCTATCACCCAATCACTACTGTATATCTATAAATTTAGTCGATATTATTATTATAGTTAACATTTTGGCTTTGAAAAAAGCAATAAAACTATTTAAATAGAGTTATATTATGTAAAAAACAAAACCACTAACGATTTATAGTGTGTTTGTCCGGTGAATACCTTAACACTAAATCATATCAATATAAAGTATTACAATCAGTAAACAAAATATTGTTTTTCCAATAAATATTAATTTATGCAATATTACACATATTGTTATATTTATTGTATTATAATTTCCAAGTATACATAATATATAATTGGTTAATATATAATATAAATTGTGTAAGAATAAATATTATAAAGTATATTTTAATACATAAAATTAATTTTAAAATGGTATTCTCAATTAAAAACCAATATTGTATCAGTATTTGAATGCTGATTAAAATGTAATAAACATTTGAAAGCAGGTGTGACAGAATATTTCACTGACAAATATAATGCCATAAATTGAATATTTATTAAGTAATCATACATTTCTGTGACTTTGAAGCCGTGGTTTCACGCAATTTGGTTGTGTAGGAGTTTGCGAACTCAATTCACAGGCATTTCATAACATTATTAAAAAGTTTGCATCCAATGCAACATAAGTGCTATTATTTATCAAAAGTGTTTATTATTTGTTAGAATAATTATATGGAAAATTTAAGTCTACTTTTATAAATTATAGTAGACTTCAGTATTTAATAATAATATAATTGTAGGAATAATAAAATTAATTTGCATTCACAACTCCAAACATCCAAAAACATTTACAACTCTTTAGATTTTTTGAGAATACACGGTATGACCACTATTAAGTTAAATGTAAACACTTTGTCCATCACAGAAAATGTTGATGCCCTTATTAAATAAAGTTTAACTAGTATTTAATCTAGTGACATTTTACAATAAAAATCTTTAAAATTCTAAACAAACTTTTGAATTACATGTGAATGATATTTAAACAAATTTTTATATCGTATTATAACAATGATTATCTGTAATTATAATCGGGAATAACAGAAGTTGTATAAATAATATATTGCGAAGAAATATCATGTGTTACGTCTGGTTTAAACTTCTTGTTAATTCACTTATTAAACATTTCTATAGAATTAAGTGCCAAAAAGTTTTGAAGTTTTAACTTTTTAAGTTTCAAATAGGAATCTAAGGAATTTAGAAATAGTTTAGAAATATTAATTTAACACTAAAAATAAAATATTTTTATTTAATAAACTTTCTTACAAATAAAACTTAAAGCAAGAATTAATTAGTAAATCAATATAACAATAATTAATTTTTAAAAAGTTATAACCAAAGAATATTCTACCATGGTAATTGTTAATTTAAAGAATCTGGTATAGTGCGTAAATAAGGTTTGTAATATCTGCTCTAGATGTTATAAATGTGGATTATACAAACAGTTGCAATATAAGTACTTTCAACTATAACACATAAGCAGTGAAATTAACATAAAAACACTTGATTTGCAAATATTATGTAAGTTTGAGACATAAAATAATTGAATAAAACTTTATATAATATAAAGTTTCGCAACACTTATAACGAGAAAAAGCAATGAATGAAGAGTTCATATAAAATACGTCAACAAAACGAGTGAATGAATGAATGGTTTGAGAGTTTGAGTGAAAAATGTTTTGGTTTTGGGATTTAGTGGTGAATGACGTGAACGACAGACAACTCCAGCCATACATCACAACAACACAAAACAAAGCAATCATTTCTATCATTCAATTGACCACAAAATCACAACCAATTGATCCCATAATATGTGTTGAATGCACTGCGAGTGAAGACAATGCGAAGAATCAGTTCCAGCGTTGGGTCGAGTGTTGGCATTAGTGTGTCCTTCGAGTCCGGAAGCCATCACTCGTTACTTCTGAACGGTTTGAATGAATTGAGATCTAATGGACAGCTCTTCGACGTGACGCTAATCGCCGGCGGAACCGATGGCCGCAAATACGAAGCACATCGGGTCGTGTTGTCCGCCTGTTCTGACTATTTCAGGTGTTGTCCACAATCTCTACACTTCTTCGCCACAACTTATTAACCATTTGTTTTGCTCCCATTAGAGCCATGTTTACGGATCAGGTGTTCACCGAAAGGCAACAGAAGGAGATTGTCCTCAACGGTGTCACCAATGAAGGTATGCATGCGTTGGAAGAATGTGTTGTGTCTATGGTTTGATTGATGTGTGCTTTTGTGCGAACAGGTCTTCACTATATACTGGAGTTCGCGTATACCTCAAGACTTGCGCTCAATTTGTCAAACATTCAGGACGTGTTGTCGACCGCATCCCACGTCCAGATGCAAGACGTGGTTCAGGCCTGCAGTGACTATTTGGAAGAGCAGATCATTGTTGACAATTGTGTCGATTTGGCCACAATTGCCGACACATACTCTTTATGGCAATTATCCAAAAGAGTTTATCACTTCATTTGTTCCAATTTGTTGGCCTTTTCGCGAACCAATGAATTACAGCGACTGACTGGCCATCAGTTGACGCGAATCCTTGACTGCGATTATCCGGTCGACTGTTCCGAGAGTGATATCCTCGCGATTGTTATGAAATGGATTGAACTCAATGTCAGCGAAAGAGTACAATATTTGTCTCATTTGTTGCGATTCATTAACTTCAAGGAAATCACTAAAGAAGAGTTGTCTCAACACTGGAACCGATTGCAGCAAATATTGTCCGAATCGATGGCATGTCTAATATATAGGAAAATGTTTTCTCAAAAGGATTATAAATCTCCCGAAGACTCAAATATTTTGATTAATACTCGAGGAATGGAATTAGCCATCATTAAAGTCGGNCTCAACACTGGAACCGATTGCAGCAAATATTGTCCGAATCGATGGCATGTCTAATATATAGGAAAATGTTTTCTCAAAAGGATTATAAATCTCCCGAAGACTCAAATATTTTGATTAATACTCGAGGAATGGAATTAGCCATCATTAAAGTCGGTGGTAAGACATTCAACGCTTTTTTTCCTTACGTTTTTTTGATATAATTAACATTTATTTTTCATATTAAGAATTGAATTTTAATTAACTTTTAAACCAAATGAAAACAAATGTTAAACAATTGATAATGAGTTGCTTTTCTTTATTTTGACCCAAAAATGATTTACAAAAATTCAATGTTTTTTGATTTAATGTGTTGTTTATATGCCCACAATAGGAGTACACAGTATTTATTTACCGGTATTAGGTATTGAATTAATTATGACATTTTAATGGATTGTTAAAAGTAAATTGAATTGAAAATTCAATTTACAAATCATTGCTTTCTATTAATTATATGTTTAAATAAGTGTTACTTTTGAATCCGTATATCAATTGTTAGGTTTTCTTAAAAAAATATATATTAGATCTTTTTCTAAACAGAAAATTAAATTTATAAATAGTAAACTTATAATTATATAATAAGTATAGTATATCCAAAGCACTTAATGTTCAACGTATAGAATATAACTAAAAATATCATTAAAAATGCATTGTTTGGCTCCTATTTGAGTGACCGGTCAGTGCTCTCAATTGCTTTTAACGTTTAAACATAGAGTTGTTGTAGAAGTTGTTGGCAATTACGGAATAATAAACTTTTTTATAACATACATAAAGTTGCTTATGAATGAAGTTTACAAAAGTCTCATCATAAAAACAGACATTAATTAATGGAAAATACAGTATTTACCAAAATTTAATGCTATTTTTGTAAGAATTAGAATAAAGTTATAGTTTTGTTTTATTAAACATTAGAGAAGTTAACATAAGAGAAGTTTTAATTAGTTTTTATATCATTAATGATTCATTTCGTAAATATTTAAATCTGGGAATTTTTCAATTATTATTTGAATATTTATTGTATTTATAGGATATTTGGGTTAATGTGAGCCCACGCTTATGCATTACAAATGAATTCTTTATCAAATAATTAAAATTCTCGTCTATATTAATATTATTTTTGTTTTCTATTATAAACGGTGTTTGCTTTTTAAACAAAGGGTACCTATCGATCAATACATGTTATAAATATTAAATAACAATAAACTAATCATAAATTAAATATTATTTGTTGTTTATAAGTTTACAATCCATAAAACTTCTTCAAACTAATTGTTTCCAATGAAAGCATCAAATTATATGCTTTTTAACACGTTTTTGTACTTTTAATTAAATTGAAACTAAATGAGTGTTAATTTTGAAAGGTTTCAACAATTCTGGAGTCACTAATGAAATCACGTATTATTTGCAAAGCGAGAAGAAGTGGAAGTACTTGTCGCGAATCCCACACGTGGAACAGTGCAACTTCGGTCAGTTCTCTATTCGCCTATACATTGCTTACAATTGTCCCTAACTTTTTCATTTGTTCGCCTTTAAAAACAGGAAGTGTTGTCCATAAGAACCAACTTTAGTAAGTATTTTGTTGATATGAATCAAGAATTGTTATTAACAATAATATTACAATTGGATTAATAGCGTAATCGGCGGCTGTTTTAATCAAAGTCTTGAAGAGGACGTTCATCCGTTTGGTTTCAGATATAATCCCGTTTGCAATAATTCAACGAATCCGTGGTCAACGATAGCGCCGATGCATAGGGAGAGGTGTCGGTTCACTCTCATAGCTGTCGACAACTATTTGTACGCAATCGGCGGCGTTTCCGAGAGTGAATACCCGCTAATCGATGACGACTTGTACACATCCGGTGAGATATATTCGCCCGAAGCCGACGAATGGACTCCAATGGCTAGTC